TCCCTGTTCAAAATGACAAAACTTAAAGCTAGCAAGAGATTTGCTAATATCAGTTTTAAGGACATGCTGTTTGATGAGCTTCTAAAGCTCTCTTTATTAGCTAGGAGATAGAATTAGTATTGTGAGAAAGATGGATGCTCAGTTCTGTAAGTACTAACATGGCATTGGGTTGAGTTAGCAGCGTAAGCCGAGCAAAGGTTCACTGTGGACTTTCTGGGGTTGCTGCAGGCTGGACCACACACACAGTGCGCGACAGGTGGACTTGCAGCCCTGCGCTGCTACTTCTTGCCGTTGTTCCTGCTTCTTTAGTTCATAGTGTTTATGCCGTCCTGCCATAGGTGGTGACCAGACTGCATGATCATTCTTTTTCTCTGTGCTACAGCAAGACATTGCATGTGTCAGGCATCTGAATGTCACCTGGGCATTACTTGTCGGGCTCTGTGCTAAGTGCTTGCCACAATGGCCTGGTTGTACTTAATTACAGGGTAGCCAGCTAGATGACCTGGAGAATGCTTGTATTTTCTTATTAGTTCATTACCCAAATGTAAGAACACCTTAATATGTTTCAGTAATACCCTAATAAGAAAAATGAAAGTGTATGTACATGTCAGAGCTCACTGGTGAATTCCCAGAACTGTGCCCCTGAAGCCTTTGGGATATTAAGTGGCTCCTTTGATGTGTGTTTGTCCTTGCCCTTCACATCCACACTGCTGAGTGCTAAGAAAATAATTCTGTTTTTCTAACACTCAGATATGCAGAAAGGAGTACAGAACAGTGTCAAGACAAATTGAAGAGGAAATTTTTCTTCCTTGGCTTGAGATGTCACACTAGGATTGAAAAGGGAACAAGCTTTAATGGTATCCATCTGTTGCAGACTAAAGTAGATGGGACTCGGCATTTGAATTCTTTGTCCACAGTCAGACTTCCCAGGCAGATGAACCACTGGCTGTAGGGTTAGAGGAACTTAAAGCAGCAAAGCATAGGGAGAGATAAATCTTGCATCTGTCTGAGACTTTCTCCCAAAGGTGTCACCATTGCTTTATCTCTTCTTTATTGCACAATGTGTGTGAAATCTAGTTGAGTGAATGGTGTATTTTGAGAGCATACTTTTGCTCCACTCATACTTGACTTGAAAATTCTTACTTCAGTCATGATCAGAGGGAAACAGAATGGTAAAAATGATGCATCACTCTGCATGAGTCTCAATCCTCTTTCATCTCTTTATTGATTAAAGGTAACCGGACTAACCTGCTGTTTATCCAAAGCTCTTGGGGCAGGAGCTTTAATCAGAGATTGACCTCATTGTAGGGCACTGTGGTCATGTGTTTAATTGGAAGGGGGAGAAGAAAATAGACTGCCATGCAGGAATGAACATGCATATGATCCTTAATATTATCAATTTTATCTGTACACAATTTTGGAACCTCGTTTTAATTCTGTCCATGAAATCTATACTGCTTAAGCATTTTACAATATCACTTTATTTAACATGTTGGGAAAACAAAATCCCTTAACAAAGATTCTAGAAGAATCCAGCATATACCCAAGTTTGTTTTGACTCTACTGCTTAAAAGTTCCCTGGCAGGTTGACTGAGATAATACGTTTCTATTGAGACCATTACTAAAACTCCAGTAATTAGCTGTAACCCTTGGACTTGCATCTACTTTTTAAAAGTTTGATTCAAAAAAGAGAAAACCAGTTATGAAAACTCTTTGGTACTATTGAACAGCAAAAACAATCTGCAATGTCCTATCTAATCCCTGAACAAGATTCAAAGAGAGTTTTTGGTGGTGCAAGGTTATAATTCCAGCACTCTAGATGGCTGAGTCAGGAGGATCACAAGTTCAAACCCAGCCCAGGAAATAAAGTGATTTGGTAAGACTCTGTTTCAAAAGCAGAAAGGGATGGTGGTGTGTGGGAATATGGCTCAGCACAGAGGCCCTAGGTTCAGTCCCCAGTACCAGAAAATGTTCTAGTGGGTGTGCTGACTCCTCAGTGATGCCCAGGGCACCTGAAGTCCATCCTTCCCTGTCTAGACCTCTGTAGTGGTGTCTTTGATCTCTGTGGGTTAGGCCTTCCCTCTGACTGCACTTGTGCATGGCTGTTTATTTTTAAATAGCTGCGATGAAGGATCTTGTTTTTTTGCTGAGTCTGTAGAGAGGCATTCGGCTGACTTCTTAATGCTAAGGATTCTTCACCATCATTTTCCTCATTCCTGAATGAGTATGTTTCTACGTGGTCTGTGTCAGTTAGCTGATCTTCTCATTGCATCTACATGAGTAATTGATTTGAAGGTAGAGAAGGCAGCGAAGCATTCCCTCTTGGGCTGGGAGAGTTGAACCAAGTGCCATGATTTCCGAGCCAAGTATGTAGAACAGGGCACGCTGGTTCATCCAAGCATGCTGAATTTATAGCTTGTAAGTTATGTGTTCATGGTAATATCTGCTTTGATGCTTTGGAAGAGTTGAGGAGAATAATAGAAAAGACTCCCAACTCTGAGAGGCATGAATTAAATCTGGCATCATTCACTAAAAATAAGTGTGGCCTTGGAGACTTTATAAGCCTCTTGCCTTAGTTATTAAATGAGCATAGCAGTAGCTCCTCCACGGTGATATTACTATACTAATGATATAATGCCTGCGAGTCCCTTATGTCTATTTTTGGTCCAGAGTAAACACTCAATAAGCATTGCTGCTTCATGTATAAATTATTTACTTCATGTACAAATTGGGAGTGCTTTCTAGGAACAACCTAAAATATAAATTAGAGCCCCTCCATTTATGTTGGAAAAACCTGTTAATGAAGAAATAATGTTCTCACATCTTATATCTGTGGCCTAAAACATTTCAGTTTTATTGTATTGTGGTAAAAATAAGATGTCAGGAGATGTTAGTGTGACATAATCCATTTTATTACAGTCGTCTTACATATGCAGTGTCAAGGTTGGAAAATCCTCCTAGAATTTAGCATTTGCTGTGAACAGCAAAATAATTTCACAGTGCGGGCATGTTAAAATGAGTCATCGTGCAGTCTGTGGCACTGCAGATCTTCCTGAGGCATCATGCCAGGGCACAGATTTCAGGAAGGATGGAGCGTGAGGCAGGGTAGAGGGGTGGGAAGACAGTGCGCAATTGCAGATTAATCATATCGTGATGCATTGATGAAGCATGAGTGTGGAGTCTGGATGTAGACATTTGAGCCACACCCTTCAGCTCTTAGTATATTGTCTGTCTGATCTGTAAATCCATCAGCCATTATAGTGTTTGGATTTAACATGAGGTGAATTTAGTCTTGGGCTTTTCAGTCTGCCCATGTGGAAGCCATTTTAACAATGTGTACTTAATCATATAACTGACATTCTCAAAGAAAATACTTCCATTTCCATATCTGTACATTGCCATAAATCATCATAGATCTGACAGACTGTGCCCAGAGTCCCTGAAAGTGCTGCTTTTGAAGGGAGGACCCGGGAGGGAAATGCTTAAGAGTCAGCTACTCTTGTCTCACTTCCCAATACACCAGCGATAGCCCTCTTCACGTTACCATTGTCTCTTTAGTCAGATAGTATGTCACAAAAAATTATAACTGTTATGCAAGTATCTTGTATGCTAATAAAAATTTATCATCACTATTATATTTTGGTTTAAAAGTCAGACTTTTAAAAATATATTTGGAAAAAAAAATAAAAATGTATTTGGTACAGGGTCTCACTACACAGCTCGAACTGGTAGTGATCCTCCCGTGTTCAGCCTACCTAGTGCTGGGATAATAGGTGTGTGTGACCACACCTGGTCTCCTGTCACCAGCTCAGCATTCCCAGGGGTGGGGCCTGTGCAGCTCCTGTTCTTGGGGATTGAACTATGAAAGTCAGGCATTTTTTTAACCAAGGAGAGGGCCAGAATGATTCTAACCGAATCTCTGGAAAGCTGCACTTTAGGACTGTTCGTGAGGAGAGTTCAGCTGTTCTCCTAGGGGTAGGTCTTTCTTTGGAGAGTATGGGAAGATGAGAATCTTTGAAAGAAACAACACACAACCCAGACAGCAGTGTCTTTCTGCAGTGATTGCCTTCATCAAGAGATTTTAGTTTGGTGCTGTGTCACCTGGCTCACATGTCATAGTGTTTTCATAAAATCACTGGCATAACAAAATTTGCTTCAATCCTGTCCTATACCTGCCATCCAGTGCTGTACTCTTTCTTCAAAATGCCCTCAGAGCTGACCTTTACTCTCTGACAATGAGGACACAGGATGGTTAAGTAACCCACACTTGGCGTTCTTCTGTAGATCCATCTTCAAAGCAACAGTAAAGGAAGAAGAAACCTAGTAGCTTCAGTTTCCTTTAGCCTTCGTGTTCCTTTTTGAGTTGACATTGGGCTTAGTATAAAGTCACTAAGATCCTGATGCTAACAAAAAGGTTAACAGTGGTACTTGGGTTCATGTAAATTCATCTGTGAGTGTGACCAAAGAGTTGAAATAGTGCAGTAACAATTATTTTAATTTTGGTGATTCTTTTACTCCCTTTAATATAGTGGAACACATTCCCCATTGACTTTAATATCTTTAACTTGGGCCAGGTAAATAGTTTAGCAGATTAAAGCGCCTGTTTAGGCGGACACACGGGTGGGGGCTGGGGGGTGGGGCCTACCATGCTGGCCCCGCCCCTGGGGCGCGCTGAGACAGCGATGGAGACTGGGCGTGGTGGCACACGCCTGTAATCTCAGGGTTTAGGAGGCTGAAAAACAGGAGGACCACTGCGAGTTCAGTCTGTGTAGTGAGACCCTGTAGACCCTGTACTAAATATATTTTTCTAAAAAATCCTTAACTTTAGAAGTATTGTGAGGTTGCTATCTTTATTCTGTGGCTAATATACCATGTTTTAGAGTAAGTTTTGGGAATTTTAGAGGTTTTTTGATATGCAGCGTAAACATTCTTGTCTTTCTGTATTTGACATGTTTTTATTTTATCAGTAACTCACCCATGGTCTTTTCTTTTTCTCACAGTCTGACAGCAATGCAAGCTTTCTCCGAGCTGCCAGAGCAGGCAACCTGGACAAAGTCGTGGAATACCTGAAAGGGGGCATCGACATCAATACCTGCAACCAGGTAAGCTGGGAGGTTTGCCCTGGTTCGTACAAAGAAGATGTAGACCCAGAGTCCAAGGTTACTTTTCATTTATACTGGATTTACTCAGATAAGTGAGCTGGCCTTGGACAGATCTACTTGGCCATCTTACTAATCTTCCAAACATTCAGTGTATTTGGGAGTAACATCCAGGCAAACTAGATAGATAAGAACTATCTAGTGTTGTCTGTGAAATGATGTAGGTTATCTTTAGGTGAAATATTAATCAAGAATGTTTTACTTCTCATTTATCATCAACTGCTGAATCTGGATCTTATTTTTTTCTTCTCTGCTATGTATGTTTTGCCGAGGGGCAATTGATTGTTTAAATTTGAGATAGAGAAATAAGAGGAAAAAATTAGGTGTATCCCCCATTTTTCTTCTAGTTGGTTTAAAATGTTTATAATTAGAAGGATCTGAAGCTGCTGTATTAGTTTAAATAAAGTTTGGATTATTCATTCTTTCCACTCATGCAATAAAGACTTTGAGAGAATAGCATGTATTTTAAAATATTTTGAGAATTCTGAGTATTTGCATTGAATATTATGAGTTTTTAAATATTTTGAATCTTCCACATTTGCTTTCTAGAATATTGATATTTTGTGGGATTTTTAAACTGCTTTGTATCATGAATTAAAATGTCCAGAGAACCCCAATATTCTCTATAGTTTGTTAAACATTGTTGTTGTTGGTGGTGGTGGTGGTGGACTGTGTGTGTGTGTGTTTGTTTGTGTATGTATGAGTGAGATAGAGACCTGCCTGGGAATAAATAATCCTAGCTGATTTATATATTAGCAGGAATTGTTAATCGTTATTTAACTCCAGGTGATTTATAGAGTGCTTAAATGTTCTTACTACATCCATCAGCCCATTTATCTTAAATATGTTCATTGCTGAAATTAATAAATCTCTCAAATGTAACTTTTCAAAAGCTGACTCAGGTTCTTGTCCCAAAACTTACAATTCTCCCAAATCTTTCCCGCTCAGTTCCTCCTCTGTGTGTCAGTTTCAACTCAGCCTGGCCTCATTCTGCATGCAATTCATGAACTTTATAAAGTTGCAATATTCTAGTAAATAAATGATGAAGCTATTACTTTTGGGCATTCTGTTAAAAAATACCAAAACAGTGAAAAAGAAAACCTAACAAAAATGATGCTAGCATCACTTCAAATCAAGTTAAGTTACCTCAAATTATAACAAACATTTTAGGGCTGGAAAGATAGCTCAGCAGTCTAAAGTGCCTGCTTAGGCAAATGCAGGGGACCGTGGTTCAATTCCTGGCACCACATGAGGTGCCAGCCCCACCCCCAGGGTGGGCTGAGTTGCCCCCTCCAAAAAAATGTAATTATATGAAAGATCTTAGGGTTATTTTAAGAAAGAACAGTCTCTCAACAGTGGATACTACATCTTTACAAGATCTATAGACCAATGTAATATCTTGTGTTAGCTTAAGACATTTTAATAGCTTAATTTTTTGGTAGTGACCAGCCACTCATGAACATGTCACTATAAGAGGAGTGTATTTGCTTTTCTAAAAAGGCAACACAATGTCACAAAATCTGTGCAGAATTTAGAGCTCATATAAAAGTTCTGTCATTTCTGAGACGTCATTTCAACTTAGAACATGGTGCTTTTCTAATCTTTCAAATAGGCTAATAACAATATCCTTGTATTACAATGTGAGTTAAATTAGGAAATATGAAAGAACTTTCTACTGTGTATGTGTTTTGATTGCAATAACTATATCTGATTCATCAAGAATTAGAAAAATTAAAAAAAGAAAAATTAAAATTGAACTCTACACAAACTATGATATTACATTTTCTCAATCACCTAGTAATTAGATTGAGGAAATACAGTGACTAATAGTAATGAATTAGCTATGGTGTAACATGCTTTGTTCTGAAGCTTAGCATCAGATACTTTATCTGTTAGCTAAGACAAGATATTAGAAAGTGGGACTACAAGTACAGAGACGGAGCCCAGAGATGGTCACACATATTCCCAGTGTCACTGACACCTGTTTCCTGTGACATCAGGATCACAATAGATACCTGTAGGTTTTATCTACTGCACAACACCTTTTTGCTGTTTTTTGTATTTGTATTTTGTGTTTTGAGACAGGGTCTTGCTATGTAGTTCAGTCTGGACTTGAACTCACTATGTACTGCAGGCTGGCTTTGAACTCTTATGCCTCAGCCTACTGAGTGTTGAGCTCAGATGCATGTGTCATCCTACCTGGCATTGCAGGGCACCTTCTTGAATAGATGTTTAGAGCTGTCCTTTAAAATACACAGTGATGGTGTCCTTCATTTTGAAGCTGAAGCCTTACTGTTAATGTGCCATTGTTAATATAAAAAATAACATTATTCATCCCTATATTAATATAATAGATCATTAAAAGAACTTCTGAATCAAAGAACACCCCAACAATGTCTGCTAAATCTCAAATAAAATATAGCAGAAAATAATTTCCAAGTGCCCCAGAGGGACAAAGAGGCAACCATTCTGCAAAGAGACTGTTTATAAATGTGTAGTATTTGAAGTGAATGAGGCACGTGAAGGGACAGAAGAAAACATCTCCTCTACTTAGCTTCTAAGCCTGAATTTTTAAGGTGCCTTATGACATACACTATGAAACCAGGACTTTCTGTACCCTGTTGTATTTCTCAGTGAAAGACAATCTGGGCTGTATCGTCTTTCCAAAAATATCACGTGTTGGCATGCTAAGATTCCTTAAACTGCAATCTGAATCAGATTTCCTTTATAAAATTGGTCATGTAATTACCATGAAAGTTTTGAAACTTAATCCAAAAATTCCATTTGTTCTTTAATAAAGTAAAGGATATGGGAAAAATTTATAAATTTAGCACAAGACCATACCTTTAAGAAAGGTTTTGAGGTTTTCATTTTTATTTTGCCAATGATTATAAATCTGTTTGTTAACTTTTATTTTCTTTAAAAGATTAGACCAGTAGTCTATTTATTAGGTTTTTTTTTTGTTCAGAAAAGAAGGATCTTAGCTTTGAATTAATTTCTAAAGCTGATATTTTTCTATCATCTCTATATAGTAATAATGCATGATCTAATCCTACTACAGAGTTAAAATCGGAATATTTGAAATACTCAGTAACATTTTCACAGAAATTTACAGCCACTTTATAAGCCAATAAAAGTCCCAGGAGGTCCAGGTATTTTTACTATGTGTAAACTTTACTGATCTCACTGTGACAACCTCCACATGAAGGGCTGTTACAGGTAGTTTATTGGCTATAATCCCAGATATGACAACAATGATTAATAATTCTTTCTTAAACAATTTTATTGAGAAACAAATAGCAATGAGACAGTTTCAAAACCAATTAGTAGGACAGTTTCAATAATTAATACATTGCATATTGTTGTCTTAGTGGTTATTCATTGTGCAAGATGCAGACATGATATCCTGTCCACAAACCCTATTAGAACAACTCTCTCTATTCACTGAATTAAGAGAATGTAGCTGTATATCTATCCTAACTATTTTGAATATACAGATACAAAATGGTTGTTCATTTGTACGCCCTTTTTTATTTAGTTTTGTCAGAGAAGGGTATTCCATTGTTATTCAAATATTATAGGTGCATGAATTCAACAAAATATTCCAATATAGTCCAGTAGTCCATAATGGTAGTGGGTTTTCTGTAAGACTGGAAATGTCCGAAGTTGTTGACTTGAGCCTTTTACAGCTCAGCATATTAATATGGCTTTACTTTTTATACTTCGTTTTTATACTTTTCTGCTGGATGATTAAGACCAAGATAAAGCAAGACCTATATAAAAAGAAATGTAGCTTTTGTATCTGATAAGGTCAGTCAGATCCCCTCAAGATTTATCCTGAAACCCTGTACCACACTTTGTAGATCCTTTGTCAGTGTCAGCCATGTGGATGAGTCACCACCATTGCTTGACCAATTTGCTCTCTGTGAAAGCCTGAGAGAATGTTTTCTCTCCATGTGACTCTCCTTAGGCACATTCTACATCACTGACCACTTTCCTCTGTGGCCCCATAAGCTCCTTGATCAGAATATTTGCCACAACTGAGTTACATGATGTTACAGTACAGATTCTTCTATGTCCTGAGTCTTCACTGACCTTGAAAGGCTAGGGCCAAAATGTTGGCTGTCCTTGCAGTCCTTCTTTTTCTCTGCAAAATTTTTGGTCTGCAAACTTAGGTTGTTAACCCTCCAGAAGACAAACTTATTGTTATTACCCTATAACCTACGCAGGTGAGCTTAACCTCACTATCTATCTGACTACCAAACATTTTAGGCATAACATGGAACAGGTATTTTCTGTCAAGTATTGATATGTTAACCTTTAAGTCCCTACAGAATATGAAGAAAAAATTAATAAAAAATATTTAAAAAATAAGAATAAACAACTACATATTTTTACACAGAAGTTTAAAAATCTAACCACATACAGCAGTGTGGCAGAACAGTCCTGTGACATTTTTTTCTTGTCTCTTGTTTTCATTTATTACCCTTTTTTTTTTTTAAACAAACGTTTACTTGAGATACAGTAAGGCAGTAATTGGTATGTCATGACAAGCAGTATGTATTTAGAAGACCAGAATGACAGACATTCCAAGCATGACCCTACCATTACACATTGCTATCTTCAGTGCAGTTGCTTAGTTCACAGGTATCACCATATATAGTTAGTCAGGGTGAGAATCCTACCAATTAACTGCTAGTTTCAAAAACTTGCTGAAGATTCTTAAAGTGTCCCAATTTTTGCTCTTGACCTTTTCCTGCTGAGCTGTAAATATAAAGAATTGTCAGTTACAAGCTGTGTTTCCTTTCTCAGAAATAGAAGGTGAAGTCAAATCACCACTTATAAGACAATCTCCATGTCCCTAAAATACCAGGGCATGAAGAACAAGTAGGTATCCTCAACAATGACGTTAGCATATGCTCATATAGTGTGACTCAGACCGT